TTACAGAAAATCAAACGTGTAGTAATTCATGGAGGGAAACTGCCAAGACTTTCCGAATAAGGAATCCATCTTTCTGTAGATGTAGATCTACGGAGCACGTATGAAATGCATCAGGCATTCTAAGCTGACTTGAAAGTTGTTGAATAGGAACAACTGTGTGTCTGTAGCTTCCCATGTGCACAAGGAGTTATAATCTCAGCCTTAGGCATATCTGGCTGACTTGCCAACAAGCTTTATTTCTGCAGCTTATAACTTCTGTTAACCTCTTGCTGGACTTGGCAAGTAGTGGAATCAGGTGACCTTTAACTTCTCAGACTGATTTGTTGTTTTTTTTAGGGGATATATAATGTTCAGCTATTGCTCCTTTTTCTCACTAATACTACTTCTAATACTTGTGGGTTTGCATGATTTACAGTTCAAAAAATTCAATATTACACTTGACCTTGGTGCAGTCCTCCACTTTACTGCCTGAATCAAACCAATTTAAATCTATTCTCCCCCTTTTTAGTCAGATTTCTTCTGATGCACTGGACCTTGGAAAAAGAAGGCTTGAGCAGCAGATGAGTGGGGCTTCTGTGCTGCCAGCTAGAGCTATGTGCCTGAGATTAGCATATTAAGGACCAAGCCATCTATTATTGGCATGATGTAAAGCTGAGAGTAGAAAACCAAATCAGAAACAAAATGTTTGCAGCAGTCTGTGCAGAAATCTGAGCTTTTGGCTCACATGGATCACTTGTACAGTATGGGAACCCCATTACCTGAAACTTTTGTCATGTTTACTATAAGCATAAAAAACATTAACAGTGTGTTTACAGAGAATATTGCTGTACAACAACAGGAAATTGCAAAACATTTCTTATTATCTACCCTCAGGCAACTAGTAAATACTCACAGTGTTGCAGGAAAGAATACTTCTTACATTGACTAAATCAGAGTACATCATCAGTATGTAGTGATACTACTGCTTTGTTACAGGTACAAAACAGAACACTTATGATGACCACTGTCGCCCATTAAATAGACAGCACATCCAGAAACTTAGGTTTATCTTACAAAAAATAAATAGCTCCAATATTTTAACATCAAATCAAACCAACAGCTTACCTCTGCCAGGACAAAGGGTCGCTCTTTTAACAGACTCGATACACTGAATCGGCAAAGTCCAGTGATGAGGAGGGTATAGTGAGGTTTGGGCCAGTTACTGCCCACTACCTGCACTGCAATCCCTGCTGTACCAATTCTACACAGACACACACAGAGAGAGAAAGAGAGTGTGTGACAGATGAGATGGCCATTGAAAAGCAGTTCACTGAAAGGTTGCATTCTGCAGTACAACAGACTGTTGCAAAGCCTCAGTATTCACACCTCTGATTGTGTTGGAGCCTTTCACAGTGTCTTTTAAGCTTCATATAAGCAGCAAGCGTGCTGTAGTGTGTGGAAAATCAACCATCTGAGTTTCATTCAAACCCTGTTATATTTTAAGTATAAGCGCCAAACATTTACATGAGCAAGTGCAAGTATTTTCTGTCCTTCACTGCAGAGGATTATAAGGATTTATTCATTCCATCTCAAATCAATGTGGTCTTTCTGCT